CACCCTTCGGAGTCGCCGAAAGGAGGAGAAAGGGGCAGGGAAGGAGGGCGGGCAGGATGAGGAGGAGGGGCGGAAACACAGGGAGTGCCAATCCCACCTCTCAGACCTTCCCAGAGCCCTCCAGTGCAGGGCCCCCGCTCGGGGAGGCGAAGCAAGGCCGCCTCGTCCCCTCCCTGGCTCCGTCTGGGGCCTGGGGGCTGTCGATCGGTGATCCCGGGTTGGCGGGGGGCCTCTCGTGGCTTCGGGGGTCGTTTGTGCCATCCGCTTGCGAGCGGATGGGCTTGTCGGGTGCCCTCCCCCCAGTCACAGCCCTCCGTGTTGCCGCAGCGCTCGATCCATCAGCCCTCCTCCCCTCTTCTTGCACCGCGTGCTGGGTCCGAACGCGCAGCGCAAATCCCCCCCCCCGCGTGGAGGCCGCGGTTTCGGAGGGAGGGTGATTCCAGGGCCGGGCGGTGCCCCGAGCCTCCTCCCCCAGGTGGGCGAGCGCCTCCCCGTCAAGGCGAGGGCCGCCGTGGCCGAAGGGGAGGAGGACCTCGCGCTGGCCTCCAGCGTCTCCCTTCCTCCCTCCCCCCTGATCTGCCTCCCTCCACGACCGGACGCTATGAACACTGCTCGCCTCTCCCCCTGGCTCCGCCTGGACGCTGCTGGGCCCTCTTCGCGTGCTGGCCATTACCACGGGATCTCAACAGTGGATTTTGCTGTTACGCTTCCTGTGAAGGTCCGTTTGTTTGCGGAGCTTCACAATGGTGCTCACGCTGCAGCGTGGGCCTCATTTTTGGAGCGGCGCGTTGCTCCCGTCTTTCAGAATGGCGCTCTCGCCCCAGCGCGGATCACTTGTTCCGAATCCGAGTCTTCATCGTTCTCGCCCCTCTCATTTCCCCTCCTCCGCCTTCCTCTGATCCTCGTGTTCCTGCCGCTCTTTCCACTCCAGTTCCTGCTGCTGATGTTCGTCCTCTTCCTTTTCCCCCCACTCGTTCTCCTGCTCACCCGCCACCTCCTACTCCTCCTGCTCCTCCTCCTCCTCCTCCTCCTCCTCCTCCTCCTTTTGTTCACGCAGCTCCCCTTTTCTGATTGCGCATGGCACGATGTGATATGGTTGCTGGAGTTGCAGGGCGGCCATGACACGCGTCCGCGGATAGAGAAGACAACAGCGAACTGGGAAGGGATGGGAGGGAGGGATAGGGTGTCAGATGAGTCTCGTGTGCGCCTAGCTTTCCCTTCTCTTTCTCCCCCCCCCTCCTCCCTCCCTCGCGGTATTCGTTCCGCTCCCTCCTCGTCCGCTTCCTCCCTCTCCTCGTCTCGGTGCTGCTGCTGCTGCTGCTGCTGCTGCTGCTGCTGCTGCTGCTCCGCCTCCCCTCCTCTGCCTGGGCAGCCGCTCAGCTTGCCGTCCTGGGCGGCCGGCGGCGTCGTCCCTGGCTGGCCCGCACGGGGGGGGGGGGCCCGCCTCGGGCCTCGGCAGGGGCACTCCTTTCTGCTCGCGTGCTCTTTGCCGCCGCGGCGAGACTCCTGGCCGCGCCCCCCAGCAGACGAGGGATGCGCCTGGCGCCCGGCGGGGCACTCGCGGACCACGACGGGCCGCGAGGGGGGCGAGGGCTCGGGCTCTGCTGCTTCCCCGCCCCTCTGGCCGGCGTTGGGCCTCGCGGCTCTCCCGCGTCGCCCCCCCCCCCCCCCGCGCGGGGGGAGATCCCGCACACATCCTCCCGCGGAGAGGCGGGGCACTGAGCCTCTGAGCTACCCGGAGCCCGGGCGCCGTGTTTCCTCTCTGTTTCTCTCTCATTCTTTCTACCCATCTCTCTCTGCGTGTCTCGTGAGCGAGCGTCGTTCCGGACAGTCGTCAGGCAGCGAGCAGGCAGTGGTCGGAGCGTTCAGCGGAGTGCCTGACGCATTTCGTCGGCGGGCATGGTAGCTCGCCCGCCTTCGAGCTGTGCGGAAGGCTGGACTCCGAGGCCGCGATCTTTCGTAAACGCCGCAGGATCCGCATCCCCCGACGCCCCCAGGCGCTCCCCATGCGCCCCCCAGCGCTCCAGGAACGCCCGAGCGCGCCCAAGCGGCCCCAGGCGCCCCGCAGGCGGTCCCAAACGCTCCCAGGTGCTCCCAGACGCACCTCGGCGCCCCCAGGCGCTCCCCATCGCTCCCGGAGGACCCAACCATTCCCTGGCAGCGCCAGGCGCTCCCCGGGCGACCCTAGGCGCTCCCAGACGCTCCCGGGCGCCTGAGATGCTCCCGGGCCCAGACGCTCCAGGAGCGCTGGAGCGCTCCTCGGCGCCCCCCCGGCGCTCCGGCGGCCCTGGGCGCTCGCAGGCGCTCCCAGGAGAGTCCCCGGACCTCCACGCGGTCCCAGGCGCTCCCAGCCGCTCCGGGACCGCCCAGCCAAGCGCCCCCACAAGCAGTCCCGGGTGCTCCCCAGGAGGCATTCTCCAGGATCGCGCCCTGGCTGTCTAGACGCTCTCAGGCGCTCCCAAGCGCTCCCAGATGCTCAAGGAGCGCCCAAGCGCACCCAGGCGCCCCCAGTCGCTCCCCAAGCGTCCATGATGCTCGCGTACGCTCCCAGGCGCTTCCAGACGCTCCAGGAAGCTCCAGGAGGCCCCCAGGAATCCTCACGAGGCCACAAAGGAGGCTCCAGAAAGCCCGAGGGGAGCTGCAGGAGGGCCCACTACGCAACAGAACGCTCCCAGGAAACTCCAGTCGACGCGGCCTGACTGACCTCGAGAACGCAGTTCAATTTCTTTCTCGCAGACCCGCACCCTCCTCCCGCGCGGTTGTCGCGTAGCGATACGCCCACATATGCGGAGGGTTTGTTGTGCATCCTCAGAGACATCCGCGCCCACCCGCGCATCTCCAGTCGCGCAGCGAGGCGCCATGACGTTCGCGGACCACGGCGCCTTACTCCGCTGGTGCGACGCGCGATCGTTCCCCCGCGCGCTCGAGCGCTGCCAGCTCGCGCCAGGAAGCTGCATGCCGCCGCGCGCCGACCCCCGCGCGTGAACTCGCGCTCCGAGTCCATCGCCGATGCGGCGCGAGAGCCCTCTCCTGCACGCGGGAGCGGTGCTTGGCGCCGCGCGCCGAAGCCTACGCGAAAATCGTGTGCTGGGACCGCTGGCGACGCGACGTGCGAGTCCTCGCCCGTGCGCTCGAGCGCTGCTCAGTCGCGCGAGGAGGCTGCCTCGTGCTGCGCGTCCACCCCCGCGCGAAAAGCTGCGTTCCGAGGTGTTGGCCGGTGCTGCGCGCGAGTCCTTGGTGCCGCTGAAATCGCGCGCCAAGGCTGCCGCCGATGCGACGCGCGAGTCCGCGCCCGAGGAATCTGGACGCGGCCTGAGGGTTCCCGAGAAAACCTTTCAATATGTCATGCAGACCCCCACCCCCCGCGCGGTGCTGGCGTTGCGATGCGCCAGCATGTGCGGCGTCGATCCACGTTCGTCGCTCGTCGTCCGTATTTCCCCGTCGTCCGCCGGTTGTCGAAAGTCCGTTGTTCGTCGTTCGTAGTTCGTCATTCGTCGCTTGTTGCCGTCGTCGTCGTCGTCGTCGTCGTCGTCGTCGTCGTCGTCGTCATTCGTCCTTCGTCGCCAGTGTGTGGTCGTTTGTCGTTGGTCGTTCGCCGCGTCGTCGTTCGCCTATAGTCGCGCAGCGGTGCATCCTGGGGGAAGTGGGGCGCATCTCAGATTCCCTCTTTCGAGGGGGCGGCGTGGGGGCGGAGGCGAGGAGGGAGCTCACTCTCGGGCGCAGCCGAAGCAGGGTGGGGGTGGATGGGACACGAGGATCGCGAGCGGGCACCAACGTATCCCACCCCCAACAGTCCAGTTGGGGGGGGTAGGATGCGTGCGCGCGTTCCTGTTCAACACACACACACACACACACACACACGAGTTCTCCATCCTCGCAGAATGGAGAATCGCATATTACGTGAACTTCTGGAGGTCCGTGCGGCTGTTTTGGGGTCTGGCTCTGGCCCCCCCCCAACACACCAGCGCGCTCAGCCCGACAGGGGGCGGCCCCGGAATGAACTGCCCGAAGTCTGCGCGGATTTCTTCAGTCGGGCGCTGCCCTGGCGCGCGCTACGCGACGGGGGCGGCGCGGGAGGCGCCGCCAAGGGGGGGGGCGGGCCAGCGCTGGACCCAAGAATCCCGTGCGGGCCTCAGAAGGTCGATGTCTGTGCCGTCTGCTCGGCTCCGCTGCCGCCCGATCTCCTCTGCCCCCTGCTCCTCCAGGTGCGCCTTCCGCCGTGTCCGCGCTCTCCTTCTCCCCAGGCCTCCTCGCACTGCCCCCCGTGCCCCTTCCGGCCAGGAGCTCTCTGGCTCAACGTGTCCTTCCGCTGGCTCCCGCCCACCACGCTCCAGCGCGGCACGCTGCCCACTTTCTCATCCTCGCGAGCGTCCACGTCCCGAGCCTTCCCGAGCCTCCCTTCGCCCCGCGGAGCGGAGCGACGCGCCTCTCCGCTCGCCAGGCGTAGCGCGTCGCAGGGGCCGCCGCCGCGACACGCCATCCGGCGGTTCCCGACCGCGCCCCCCTCCTCCCGCCCCGCCGTTCGGGGGAGGGCCCGCCGGGACGGCGGGCGGCGCTCCCGCCTGGCCCAGATCCGCTCGACGGGAGCCTCCCGGACCCCCCCCCTGGGGTTCGTCGTGGCCCGCTCTTCGAGGCGCAGCCCGCCGTGGCGGCGAGGGGAGCCTCCCAGGAGGCCCCCAGGGGCGAACAGGAGCGCAAGGCAGGCGCCCCTCTCCGAAGCCCTTTTCTCTCTTCCTCCTCCAGCGCGCATGTGCCGCCGCCTCCTCTGCTTCCTCCTGCAGCACACGCTCCACCGTCTTCTCCTCGCCCGCCTCCCCGTGTCCATCCCGTCCCCCCTCCGTCGCTTCCCCAGGAGGCGGAGGAGTCGCTGCCGAAGGCTCGCCTCCGCGACCGCGGCCGCCTCGCCTCGCTCGCCGGGCCCGCGGGCGCGCGGGGGAAGCGGCGCGGGGCGGCCCCGGAGGGCAAGCCGCGGCGCGCGAAGACGGCGATGAAGTGAAAAATTGCAGGAGGAGGGCGGGAGGAGCCAAGCTACGTGCGCTCGGGTCATGTCTGACGTCCTGCCCCTCCCTCCCAGTCCAGACCATCGCACAGAGTCCCTCTGTACTCGCACAGTTCGATGTCGAATATGACACCGATGCCCACGGGTTCTCGGCGCATAGCGTTGCATCGCATCGCGTAGTCAAGCATTGCGCATCAAGGAACTGCAGCGCAAGGCACGGCATCGCATGGCGGTGCACACCGAGCAATCGCGAAGGCATGAGCTTCTGTCCTATCCCCTTGGCATCGCTCGGACGTGTGATTTTTTTCCTCGGCGAGGACCATGGAGGAGCATCCTGGATGACTTAGCGAAACAAGCACGCACGAAATCGAAAAATTCACGAGGGATGGAACGTCCGAGCGATGGCGAGTCCTTCTCCCGCCCTCGCCCCGTTCCCCCCGCCGATGCCTCCCTGACAAGTGGACGCCAGGAGCTCCGGGCGCTGGCTCTGCTTGCGCACTCCGACGCGGTGGTGCAGGAGCACGTGCGCACCGTCCGAGGTCGGGCCGCTCACCGCCGCGAAGGGAAGGGGGTCTGGAGGGAAGCCGGTCCCGGAGGTTCTCCAGCGTCGTGGTGCAGGAGCACCTTGTTCTGAGGCTGCGCCCCCTCCTTTTCCTCCCCCCGAATGGTTAATTCAAGCTTCGCGCGGCCCGCTTAGCTTCGACCGGAAGAGGGGCGCTCTCGACCCGCGAATCAAAAAAAGTTGCAGGAGCACGTGCGCACCGTTCAAAGCTCGGGCCGCGTGTCGCCGCGAAGGGAAGGGGTCCTGAGGGAAGCCTGTCCCGGAGGTGCTCCAGCGTCGTGGTGCAGGAGCACGCGCGCACCGCTCAAGGGTCAGGCCCCTCGTCGCCGCCAAGGAGAGGGGTCCGGGGGGGCCAGCGGGTCCCAGAGGTTCTCCGCCGCTGCCGGGCCTCTCGGAGCCCTCTCTGGGCCTGGGGGCCTTTCTCTGGGCCTTGCGGTCGCTCGTCGCCGTGAAGGCGACGGTCCCTTGTAGATCTTGTCGGGGCCCTCGCGCCGTGAAAAAGCCGGCGCACGGTATGAAGATGTGGCCCTGGGGGGGGGGGGGGGGGGGCAGTTCCCGGGCCCAGGACGCGCTTCCCTCAGAAAACGGGGCCTGAGGGAAACTTCGGGGGCGGCAAAGAGGGGGGTGATGACTAGGGGGGTGTGGACATCATGGCGTGGGCCATGATATTTCCCTACGATATTTGCCCGTGGACATCATGGCGCCACGAACGAGACGGGCACGGAGAGAATGGGTGCAGTGCAACACAGCAGTTCCTGCTCATTCTGAACAGGACTCGCTGTCCGCGCCACCGCGGCCTGTGTCCGTTCGAGACAGGAGGCCGCTTGCCCCGCAGCGGCCGCTGTTGGTTTGGGACAACATTTGTTGTTGGGCGTTGTACCCATTCTTTCCGTGCCCATTTCGGGCGTCCAAAAGCGGGACCTGAGGGAAACGGTGATGACTAGGGGGGGACATCATGGCGGGGGCCATGATATTTCCCCAATTATCATGGCGCCTCTTCTCGTTCCACTACGTCCCTGGCCCCCCCGCTGGGCCGCGCACATGCCGCCGGTCATGATTTGCACCCCCCCCCTCTCTTGGACGCCCCCCTCCTGGCCGCTCCCGAGAGATTCTCCGCCGCCCCTCGGGGCTTCTTGTCGGGGCCCTGGGGCGGAAACGACGCAGGAGGATGACTTCGCCCCTCTAGGGAAGCAGGCGAGGTCCGGGCAGTAGCGGTATCGGTACCTCTTGGTTCCCCCAGGGGTTGCCACGACAGCTTGGCAAGTAATCCAGAAAGAGTCATTGCAGAGGCCTGTGAGGATCGATCAAAGTCTGCATTGTGTGAAGATGTTCTTCAATGCTGCCCGAGTAAGACCAGCGTAAGCGGGGAAGGATCCCCCGTTCGAGGATGAGAGGGGGAGAGCTCGCGGGAGGAGGCGGCGGCGGAAGAGGCGGCGGAGGAGGAGGAGGAGGATCGGTAACACGATGTTCTCGAGGACTCTAGTGATCATGTGCGGCGAAGACGAATGCCGAAAGGGTTCGGAGCAGGAGTTACCGAGGAGGATGAGGAGCAGGCAGAAGATCAACATTCGCCCCAGGAGGACGAGGAAGAGGATGGGAGAGCAGCGTTCACATGGTTGGTCGGGGATGGTCGCGTTCAGGAGGAGGGGAGCGTGGACGGACGAGGGAGGCATGCGGAGTGGGGCGCGAGGAGCTGGGCGGCGACGGATCGCAGAAGAGGGGAATGACACGGAGCAGGGCAGACAAGGGACGGGGATACGGAGGAGGAGGAGGAGGAGGAGGAGGAGGAGGAGGAGGAGGAGGCGAAGGAGGAGGAGGAGCAGGAGGAGGAGGAGGAGGAGGAGGCGGAGGAGGAGGAGGAGGAGGAGGAGGAGCAGGAGGAGCAGGATGAGACGCGGGGCCCGCGCGCTGGGGCAGCGGAGGCGCCGCGGCCCGGGCGGCGACGGCCGTCACGTGCTACTTCGGCGCCTGGGCGCAGGACCGGCCGGCGCGGCTGCGCCCCTCGCGCGCACCCGGCCGGTTCCCGGGCAGTCTGGCGCCACGAGTCGACGGCACCCGAGATCGGGAGGGGAGCAACTTTTTGATTCGCGGGTCGAGAGCGCACCTCTTCTGGTCGAAGCTAAGCGGGCCGCGCGAAGCTTGAATTAACCAGAGATGAAGGAAGAAAAGGAGGCCGGGAGGAGGCAAAGCCTCGGGATCATGCGGTGCCGTAGTCGACGGCACCCAAGATCATGAGGGGAAACACATGTTTTTTTTGTCGCGGGTCGGGAGCGGGCCCCTTCCGGTCAAGAGCTAAACGGGAAGCGGGTAGCCCTAATTGGGGAGACAGGGCGCAGGCGGGCGGGGCCTCAGGCGGCCGGAGGGCTCAGAAAACAGGCGGTGCCGAAGAACTTGCACAGGACAGATAGGGAGGGGAAAAACACACAGACACAATTAAACAATGAGTCGACGATTCCCCAGGAAGTATGGGAACGTGTGGAAGTGGGGGGCAAGACAAGAACCCAGGAAGTATGAGAAAATAGGGGGAATCCTTTTTTTGTGTGTATTGATTTGTGTGTCCCAAGGCCCCTTCACAAGAGCGACCCTTCGCCGGAGTGACCTTCACGTGCGCGCCCACTGGGGCCCCCCGATCGCCGAGTGCGGTGCGACAGCAGCGCCTTGCGCGCCAGCGTCTGGTCCCCCCTGCGGCCCTCAGGAGGCCGTGCACTGAGGGGCACTCCCGGGGTCACTGTGGCCGGATGAAGAGCAGGTCAGGGGGCGGCCAATCCTCCTCATCCTCCTCCTCCTCCTCCTCCTCCTCCTCCTCTTCCTCCTCCTCCTCCTCCTCCTCCTCCTCTTCCTCCGCCTCCCCCTCCCCCGTGGCCGGGGTCAGGAGATCTCGCCAGAGTTCATGGCGCCTCTTCTCATCGGAATGCGTCCCCTGGCCCCCCCCTGGGCCGCACATGCTTCGGGCCACGGTTTACGAACCCCCCTCTTGGACGCCCCCCTCCTGGACGCTCCCGAAAACACAGGACGGGCGTCGACCAGGGGACTGCGTGCGCGTGGCGTGGCTTGCCTCGAGGCATTCTTGGAGCGCCGGATGCGCACGAGGCGTCCCAGAAAGGGCCTCGCCCGTGGCGCGCCTCGCCTTCCAGCGGAGGGCCGGCGGGCGGTGGAGGAAGGCAGGCTGCGGCCGGCCCGCTGGCGGACGGAAGGCTGGCGGAAGGCGGCGGAAGTCAGCGCGAGAGGGCACGTCTTCCCAGCGTTGACCCATCGTTTCGGATGCAGCTGGCTATCCGCTGTGCATCTGGCTCGTGGCCTCCGCGTGTTCCGCGTGCAGGTCCAGCCGTGTGTGGTTCTGGCTTCTGGGTGCAGTTGAGCCCCCCATCCCCAATTCGTGCTGGCACAGGGAGGCGCTTGCGCCGCACTGCGGTATCCTCAGCCGGCGCCACGGGCAGGAATTGTCCGCCGCAGCCGGATGTCCCCGCCAGGACAGGTGTTAACCTCTGCGCTTGGGTGGCTCGAAGTCGGGCCTGTCCCTCTACAGAAGGATCATTCAAAGATGGTACAACATAGTCGAGGGACGATTTTGATTTTTTGTTTTTGTTCTTCCATAAGCCCCCTGTAGGGGGACATGCCCGACCTAATGCTGGCCTTAAGGTGCGCCGGTGGCCTTGGCGCCGCAACCAGGATCCCTGATCCCTTGGATGGGCAGTCGTGCCCGTGCCGGCCCGCGGGGCCCGCCCTGGGCCTCGGAGCATCGCACAGCGGAGGAGGGTAGGCTCATAGGAGGAAAAGGTACCCATACCGCTACTCTTCGGCCGTTTCTATTTGTTTCGGCCTCCTGGGAGAAGCTCGTCGCCTCCGGTGGATTCGCTTCGAAATTCTGCTCAGAACGCACCCCGGGAGAGGCCCGGGGAGTAGCGGTATCGGTACTTTCTGGTTTCCCCAGAGGCGGGCTCGATCTTGAATTTCCGAGGGTGGGGGAGTTGGGCTCGGAGCTCGGAGGTGTCAGCACCCTGAGACGTGTGCCGAGCGTTCGAAGCATCTCAGGGGACTGCTCCAGGGACCACCCATCGACTGGTCCAATCCGTCCCCCTCTCGCCATATCCTGTCTTCCGTCTGCCCTCCTCCTCCGCCGTCTGGCCTTCTCCCGCACTGGGCTGCGGCGCCGCCCTCGCAACGACGGAGAAGACCACCTCCAGTAGCGGACGAGGGGACGGAGGCTTCTATGGGCCAAGGAGGGGGTCTGGTCGTCTCCCAGTGATCTCTGGGAGGAGGAAGAGACGGAGGTGGACACAGCGAGCAGTCTTGGTCTTGCACCATTGCACAGCTGATCCTCGGCATCGGCGCGTCGCTGCGAAGAGATACATTCATAATTACGTCACGATCTTCTTCCTTTCGCCATCGTCTGCTGTCGCGCCACTCGCTTCGCCCCGAAACACAAGAACAGCAGCGCT